CTAATTAAAAGATTTTTTTTGGATCAAACACTAATTAAAAGATTGGATTGAAGAAAATTGCCACCTATCAATATTGAAGCAGAACGTAACCCTACGTAGAAAGGAGCTTTTGAGTCGGCTGTTTCGACTTCTCTCGTACACGTTGACTGGGCTAATTCTTAATTGAAATAACCTTTGAGACGGCTCGAAATAACTCGAGAAATTTTTGCGAGACCCATGGTTTATTTAAGTCGATTTACTACACATTCCCTATTAGGTTTTTGCAGTAAAACCTCCATTGGTAGCATTTCAAAAACTGTCTGAGGATTCGGGGAGGCAAATGGAGCATGAAAATATTTGAACTCAGGACTTCCGACTTTGATACCATGTGAGATTTTGGTGGGACCATCGCCAAATATTTTAAAAGCTTAAACTATTAGATGAATGCATGGTTTAATATTTAATTATTCTAACATAGGACAAGGGCATAACCAAGTAATATACTTCTTTTTCCCAATTTTATTTTCCTTTCATTCACTAAAAGAGAGTTCTGGCAATAAAACCCTAGACATGGACCAAGGTTGCGCTCATCTGGATTAATCCTTTTCTTAGTGGATGTTGCATGAACTTTGACTCCTCATACCCCAACTTCTTTTAGGAAAAATCTCCCAATTCGGCCCATCCTCAGCCATTCAGGGATTGAAATTGTCCTCGATCAGGTACAATGTCTATTCAAAATACAATGATGGTCATGATGGGATTTCTGAAGATTCCGGAAGTCCCCATTGTTTGAGGTCGGCCACGGGAAGCCATTGAAGTTGGGTCCTTCAGTTTTCCTAAGATTCAGTCGATTTGCATCTATTATTTACTTCTTCTTTTTATGCCGCGGGGTCGATTTTCAATTGGTAATTAACCACTCTTGGATGAGCGACGTCGATTTCGAATTCGTGTCGCTCGTGAGACGACAGTTGTGTAATTCTATCAATGCGCAAGGCCTAATTCGATCTTGAAATACAAATGGAAGGACTACGGGGTTTTGGAGCCATCAATAAGTTTGGACCCCATTGATGAGTTGTGAGAGCAAGTGTTTGGTAAGAGAGAGAGAGAGAAAGAGCATAGATCATAATATTTACAACTACCACCAGAAAATGAGATGGAAGCTCATGGAGCAATGATCAAATCATAATATTTGCAACTAGTATCGGAAATATGGAAAGGGAAGCTCATGGAGCATATAGGGGAAAATTGTCCAAAAAGTTCTAAGTATATTATACGACGACCAATTCGGTTTCGAACTTTTCAATCGTGTCAATTTAGTCCCAAACCGTTTGACGATTTACTAATGTAATCCTTCCGGCCAATTTTGGTAAAAAAATTGCTGACATGGACGCCGGCCGTCCTACATGGCAACTGCGACGACTGGCCGATGTTGATGTGGATGATTTTTTGTAATTTTTCAAAATACGAAAGGGAATCTCATGGAGCATATGGGATTGGACCCCATCCAATATGACAAGAGGTTATGCCTTGTATATAAGAGTGGCTAGCCGCCTATTTTGGTGAGCAGGCTCCATCATTGATCTGGTACTAATGAGGAAATGAAGATTGAAACAAGGTACGACTTTCAAGAAAATGGAGAAATGGACAGAGTCGGAATGAGCACCGATGATGTTTTCATGTACGGCTGTGGACTTCAATTGCAACCACTCGTACGTATGGTGAAAAGATTGGGTAGATTTCTTTTTAATAAATTTTAAAATATTATTATTATTTATTTATAATTCTTTTTAAAGTGACTTGTAAATTAAATTGTTTCTTAATAAGTTTACTAGGTGGCTGAGAAATCGAAACCGAAACCGAAACCGAAACTGAAAGGATGCTAAGGCTCCGAAAAAGTTGGTAAGCAAAAAAAAAAACCTATACAGATATAGTTATTTTCTGATTTGGAGTAAGGAAATGACTTGCATTTATGTCCCAACTAATCGTGATAAAGTTTAGCACAAGAAGAATTCTGTTGTCATCAATTTTTGTCATAGGTAAACCCTACGTAAGCATATGCTCGGAAAGATTCTTCTAACTATTTCTGTTTCAATTTGTTGTTTCTATTCTCCTCAATTTTCCTCTCAACAATAAGCATCCGGTATGAAATGGCTCGTGCTTTTGGATTGGATCACGCCGATCTTATCAGGTCCGTATATATCTTCGGCCGAACGTCGAAAGTAAAAGCTGAAAGCTTATGAGATTGATTTCTAATTTCGGATAGCGCTCTTGGCTTCGACAGGATGAGTTTCGATGGGGCTTATCACGAAGAGCAAAGCGAACTAAAATTCATGAATTACAAAATGAATTCAAGGCTCGACAAATCCTTCAAATGTCATGACAATATCCCAAGGAAATTTTTTTTTTTAGAAAATGTGCATTAAATTTGATAATGGAAGATTGGGCCCACGAGGAAATAAATATCTAGGTTCCCGAGACGGGACCGGACGATTATGGGGGCCTCAAGTTCCACGTAAATCCCAATTTAATTAAAAATTTATTAGAGACAAATCATGCAAAAATAAAAACATAAATTGCAAATATTTGATGCTGTGGCTCTCTACTCTTTGCCCCAAGAAATAAATTCTATTTTCTCATAAAATCAATGTAAAAAATAGAGCTATTTTCTTTAAAAAAAATTTTAGTTCTCCACAAACCGTGCTCACATGAAAACATTCATCTACTAACAAAAGGGATAAGTGCATTGAAGTCCTAAAACTTATTATGAAAGTGCAATTGAGTTCTAAGACTTTCGAAAAATACAATTGAGTCTTTGAACTTGTCGCAAAAGTGCAATTCGAGTTTTAAAACTTGTCAAATTGATCCAAATCAAGTCCTTTCGTTGATTGCACTTTTTGAAGATTTTAGGGCCCGATTGCACTTTCGTGATAAATTTTAGGAGTTGATTGCACTTTTTGAAAGTTTTAGGACTTAATTACGCTTTCGTGATAAATTTTAAGATTTCCAGTGCACTTGTTCATTAACAAAATAGATAAGAATTAACAAGAATATAAGTTTTTAGAAAATGAATTACAAAATGAATTCAAGGCTCGACAAATCCTTCAAATGTCATGACAATATCCCAAGGAAATTTTTTTTTTTAGAAAATGTGCATTAAATTTGATAATGGAAGATTGGGCCCACGAGGAAATAAATATCTAGGTTCCCGAGATGGGACCGGACGATTATGGGGGCCTCAAGTTCCACGTAAATCCCAATTTAATTAAAACTTTATTAGAGACAAATCATGCAAAAATAAAAACATAAATTGCAAATATTTGATGCTGTGGCTCTCTACTCTTTGCCCCAAGAAATAAATTCTATTTTCTCATAAAATCAATGTAAAAAATAGAGCTATTTTCTTTAAAAAAAAATTTAGTTCTCCACAAACCGTGCTCACATGAAAACATTCATCTACTAACAAAAGGGATAAGTGCATTGAAGTCCTAAAACTTATTATGAAAGTGCAATTGAGTTCTAAGACTTTCGAAAAGTACAATTGAGTCTTTGAACTTGTCGCAAAAGTGCAATTCGAGTTTTAAAACTTGTCAAATTGATCCAAATCAAGTCCTTTCGTTGATTGCACTTTTTGAAGATTTTAGGGCCCGATTGCACTTTCGTGATAAATTTTAGGAGTTGATTGCACTTTTTGAAAGTTTTAGGACTTAATTACGCTTTCGTGATAAATTTTAAGATTTCCAGTGCACTTGTTCATTAACAAAATATATAAGAATTAACAAGAATATAAGTTTTTAGAAAATGAATTACAAAATGAATTCAAGGCTCGACAAATCCTTCAAATGTCATGACAATATCCCAAGGAAATTTTTTTTTTTAGAAAATGTGCATTAAATTTGATAATGGAAGATTGGGCCCACGAGGAAATAAATATCTAGGTTCCCGAGATGGGACCGGACGATTATGGGCCTCAAGTTCCACGTAAATCCCAATTTAATTAAAACTTTATTAGAGACAAATCATGCAAAAATAAAAACATAAATTGCAAATATTTGATGCTGTGGCTCTCTACTCTTTGCCCCAAGAAATAAATTCTATTTTCTCATAAAATCAATGTAAAAAATAGAGCTATTTTCTTTAAAAAAAAATTTAGTTCTCCACAACCGCGCTCACATGAAAACATTCATCTACTAACAAAAGGGATAAGTACATTGAAGTCCTAAAACTTATTATGAAAGTGCAATTGAGTTCTAAGACTTTCAAAAAGTACAATTGAGTCCTTGAACTTGTCGCAAAAGTGCAATTCGAGTTTTAAAACTTGTCAAATTGATCCAAATCAAGTCCTTTCGTTGATTGCATTTTTTGAAGATTTTAGGGTCCGATTGCACTTTCGTGATAAGTTTTAGGATTTGATTGCACTTTTTGAAAGTTTTAGGACTTAATTGCGCTTTCGTGATAAGTTTTAAGATTTCCAGTGCACTTATTCATTAACAAAATAGATAAGAATTAACAAGAATATAAGTAACCTATTTATGTTTGACTACTTTACCCTTTGCCCATGAAATGAAACTCCTTTTGTATGTATAGTTTCTATCAACCACCTATAGATAGAAAAAAATCCCGCATCGAATTTCGAGATATGTTCGTACGAAATACCATTAACACCTAAATGTCTTGAATCCAATCACCACAACCTTTCGAAATTCCTATGACGAGGTCCTAATCTTGCTAGCGACAAACTCCGGTCCAGAAAGTTCGGACTTCTCGTAGAAAAGACTATTTCGATCGCACCCGCGTGATGCGATCCTAGGTTTTTTCCTCGAATATCGACCGCGTGGCCCGACTCCGAGTAGTCGTCCCTTCCCTCTCTTTTACTAATTCATGATTGGCTTTCGACGTCGGATCATGCACTAAATGCACAGTTTGGTTAGATATTTCAGCATTTGATTTCGCTGCTAATGAACAGCAAAGGGTGGGGGGATAAACAAACAGGGCGTAAGAGAAAAACCTAAATAAAAAAGAGAAGTGAAAACACTTCGTTGCTGCTGTAATAGGCGTGTAGATTGCGTGGTCGCTCGGCACTCTTTTGAACAGTGCCTTTGTCTTGGCGACCTGTTTATAAAGCGTTGATGCGCTCACAGGGAAAAGATGGAAGCAGATTGAAAGAGATAGTCCTCTCTCTCGCTCTCTCTCTCTCTCTCTCTCTCTCTCTCTCTCTCTCTCTTCTTCATCTTCATCTTCATCGCCTTCATCACCGTCGTCTCTCGCTCTTGTAGATGTTGTCTGCCATTCGGAGATCACCAGTTCTTTCCGTTTGAGGTGACCAGGGTGGTGTGTGTCTCTCCCCCCCCCCTGGTTCTCCCAGCTTGTCTCGGATTGATGAAAATGGCGGAAGCATCGAACGAGGAGGAGCACCCGGAAACGAGCTCCTCCTCCTCGTCTTCCTCGTCCTCCTCGTCCTCGCCAAACTCGCCTGCGGCCGCGGCCCGCGACCCGTCGAGATCCTCCTCCAAGCCGAGCAAGCACCCGGTGTACCGCGGGGTCCGGATGAGGAACTGGGGCAAGTGGGTGTCGGAGATCCGGGAGCCCCGCAAGAAGTCTCGCATCTGGCTTGGCACCTTCCCCACCCCGGAGATGGCCGCCCGCGCCCACGATGTCGCCGCCCTCCACATCAAGGGCTCCTCCGCCTTCCTCAACTTCCCCGACCTCGCCCCCTCCCTCCCCCGCCCCTCCTCCCTCTCCCCGCGCGACGTCCAGGCCGCCGCCTCCCTCGCCGCCCGTATGCCCGACCACCAAGGTACGATCGCTTCCGCCAATGCTCATCAAAGCTCGGGCTGAAACTCAAGCATATCAATTCTACAACTTGTCCATATGTCTCCGAAATCTGACGGGCAAAGCATGAATGGACAGGAACGGCCGAGACCTTGCGGCCGACGGCGGAGCTCGACGCTCAGCACTCGCCATTGCCCTCGAGGTCGCTGTCGTCCATGGTGTCGGCGATGGACATATCCGCGGCGACGGTGGAGCTGAGCGAGATCGTCAAGCTGCCGAGCCTCGGGGCCAGCTGCGACGAGCTGGGGAGCGAGTTCGCCTTCTCCGACTCGGCCGGCGCCGAGTGGGGCTACTACTACGACGACTACCAGCCGACGTGGCCGGATCGCCTCGAGGACTGCGGGCCGTACGACTGCGGTCACCAGGCGGCGGCGGCGCCGGGGAGCGGTGGCTCGCTGCTGTGGGATCATGACTGAGCGAGTGTGGGATCTTAGTGTTTGGGGAGAGAAGTCTGTGAATTTCTTGTGAAAAGAAAATGAATTTTTTTTCCTTTTTTTTTAATGAATTATGGTGCTTATTTAATTCCATTGTTGTCTTTTTTTTAATAATTTTTTTAAATCTTTTTACCGAGTCCTTTTGGTATTTTCTTTGAAAGGGCCGGTCAAAGGTGTGTGTGTGGTGTCCCCCTCGCAGGGCTGCATCCACTAACGTGTTTGGATAAACTTTGCTGTGTACAGATCCTCTATGTTCATGTGACTTTTGGGGGAAAAAATATGTTTATTTTGACTTCATTTATATCATTTCTCATTTTGTTGCTTTTTTTTTTTCGCCTTTCCTACTCGCGAATATATGAAATAGCCCGGGAAAAATATATGTTCGTCGCTTTGGTTTCTCGAAATTTCGCAGTTTGTTACTCACGTGATATGCATCTCGACTAATTTTAAATTTGAATTCAAAATGTACCCTTTAAGATTGGCTTGGTTTTTAATCTTTTTTATCTACTTTTTGTGTTTTGTTCTGGGTCTTCGTCCATTACAAATGAAGTGGACATGCTTTGAGTTAAGGATATTGTATAAAAAGCAGCTATGACAAGATAAAATGAGCGAATATGTCCAATATCCTAAAAAAAAAAAAGTGAAAAAGTTAGCTAACTTGGCCTGCAAGCTGCAAAGCAAGAAAGATTGGGATAGGTTTAAAAAAATTGTAATCTTATGATATGTCTATTTGACAAGAAAAATTGGGATAGGTTTCAAAAATTGTAATCTTTAATGTGGTTATAGATATAAGAAATTTTTTGCACAAATGCTGTTTCAAAAGTGAAAAAAATTTCTCCCAATTGAATCTTCACCATCGCCTCACCCAAAAGAAAACTCTGATTCGCTAACCCTTCTCGAACATTATCTTCTCAGTGTTTCGGCCTTCACTATACTTTGTAATATTTATCAAATGCTCCATAAAAGCTGCCACTGCAATAGCGAAAGCACCCATTCGAGAAATTTTTTTGCTAAAATTGTTTCGATCTCATATAAAAATTTCGATATTTCAAAAGGGAAGTATTAATATATGTGTGACATGGCCAAGATTAAAGAGTTTTGTTTGGTCCCAAAAGTTCAGGTATTGATAGTGACCCTTTTAATGAGAACAAAGAGACAACAAGTTACGTCTAAAGGGTGAATTATGTGAGTGTGTATATAGCCATTCTCATTTTGGTGCTAACTTATGGAATTAAAATACAAACAAAGAAAAGAAAACGAAAATGTCGCGTCTTTACCTAATTAAAAAAGACAAAACAATCGATTGGAAGAATCAAGGAGAAGAGATCATAGGCCATATCTTCTAGGGCATACACTTGTTCATTCATCTTCTTCTTTCATCCAACAAAAGAAGCTTTGGTAGGAAGATTTGAAGCTATGGCCCCCTTTTGATTCCCTTTTCTTGCTTTACGACCTCTTGTGCTCCTTTTTCCTCGTTTCGCTTTCCACGCAACAGCTCTATAGAAAGGCATTCTTCTTTGACACCCTTTTTTTTTTGGTAACCAATTCTTTGACACCCTTCACTGATTTAAAAACCAAGTAATTGAAGGTGATAAGCGCTACACGGTTAATGTAATGAATCGGTAATCTTTTTGATGGAAGAATGAGAAATTCTTTTGAAATGATTGCTACAGCACGTGCCACCGATCAGGATTTGCCGTAATGCGCATGCAATAACTTGTCGATTGTTGGCCGATTCATTGTTCTCCAAGTTCGCGGTACGTTGACATTTGGAGTTATGGCCAGATGGGATTTAACAAATTCATGCATCGATGCACGGTAATGATACGCGAAGAAGCAAATGAGACTTTTTTCAAAATTCAAACGTAAAGTTAGTAGAGATCCAAAAAATACGAGCATTGTGATCGACTTGTTAGATTACATATACTTGTACAAGTGGTACGTCTTGTTGGCCATCAATTGGGCTACTAAGTATCGGGTCATAGAGTATAAACGTATGGTTGAGAAAGGGACAACAGGGGCCTCTTCTAGATCTCTTAGCATCTACTTTATATCATAATCTACGCCTTCATTTTTCTAACTGAATTTATAATTTGGGTATTTGGGTGTCACTCAAGGTCTACCCTCGTCTTATTGTTCGGTTAAATATTTTAAGAGCACACGGCAATTAGCAGAAATTTAATTTTTGCAGTTGGCCGTTTCTGCTGCACCAGCACCATACCAAAGCTTTCCTGATGTGATGGCATATCCACACACTGTTTGTTAGCTAAAGAAAAAATAAAATTGGTTAGGCAATTATTTAGCAATGAAAGCCTTCCCTAATAAGAAACTATATGTGGTATGCAAAGATTTTCTATTCTTTAGTGTTGACTAAACTAATCCAAGATAATGAATTTAGAGTATTTATAATGGATAATGATCCACTTGTAAAGAAACAACTTGCCCCAAGGTTTTTAGATTGAATTTACTAGAGGTTAATTATGCTGTTACCTTTGTGGGTGCATTACTAAATTTAGTATTTATAAAACCTTTTTGTATTTTCTTTTCCTCATCTAGTGAAAGAGACAATCGGGTGCATGTAGGGGCTGATGCAATGAATGACATGCCCAAAACATCATTTAAAGTCTTTGTTTAATTTAGTGGGACTCTTAATCTTTGATTTGGTGGACACCTCAAGAACTAGGGCATCCCTAAAAACTATCGGGTAGGTTATATATATAGGGCAATCTAGCAATGGCCTTGGAAGCTTTTTGTAACGACCTAGTTCGACGATAACCAGGAGTGATTTCGAGGGTTAGAAAGTCTGGACAAGAAGCGACTCCTAATAGGCTTTTCGAATGGTGAAAGGGGCACAAATGAAATAAATTGCACACCAAATAAAGAGAGAACGGTTCTGGGATATATATGTGAAACTAGAATCAACTTATTAAAGATGCATTTTGACGTAACGACAAACTCTAATGTTAAGTCTGCTCATGCAAAAGCACTTCCATGATGTGTGTACGCCAAAGGACAAAATCATGAGATTTGGTATAGAACGGGTCAAAGTGGACAATATATTGAGTGAGTTAATTCAAGGATGTTACACTTTTGCTCCTACATGGAAACAAATATACTTTATATACATAACAAATATATTTCACCATTACACAAAAAAAAAATTTCCACCATGAGGGCAAAGTGAGAAAGTTCTAGACCACAACATTGAATAGGTCAATCTTTGAGAAAATTGTCCAAGAAGTTCTAAACCTATTGCACTTTTGCCAATTCAGTCTTGAAACATTTCAATTGTGCCAATTGAGTCATAAACCTTTTTAAAATTTGCCAATGTAATCTATTCGACCAATTTTGGTCGGAAATCACTAATGTGGTAGCCAGCCGTTCTATATGACACGGCGGCACTAACGTAGAAATTTTTTATTAATTTTATAATATATATTTTTTGAAATATTTTATTTTTAATTTCTTTTTCTTTTCTTCCCTTTTTTCTCCTTCCTCCGCTAGTCGCTGAACCTCAATGATGGTCGGCGACCAGCAAGAGGCTAAGACTTGCAAGTATCACCCTCGCTAGGATCTAGGGAGGGAGCCTTGCTAGAGGCCGGTGAGGTCGCCCCTCGCCTGCTTCGAGCAAGGTTAAGCCTCGCCCACGTTAATGAGGCTAGCGAGGTTGCCACTTGCCAGATCTCGGTGAGGGCGACCCTAGCCAGTCATAGCCTTGGCTAGTTATCAACCATTGCCGAGGCTAGGCGACCGGCGGAGGAAAAATGAGAAAAAAAAGAAAGAAAAGGAAAGAAAAGAAAAAATAAATAATATAATTATAATAAACAAATTTGAAAAATATTTACAAAATTAATAAAATTTATTCATGTCAACGCCGCCCCCGCCCGTGCCATATAGGACGGTTAGCATCCACGTTAACGATTTTCGGTCAAATTGGCCAGATGAACTACATTGGTAAATTTTTAAAAGATTTAGGACTGGATTGACATAATTGAAAGGTTTAGAATTGAATACATGAATTGTAAAGACCAGAACAGAAGGATGCCACCTTTGTTATCTCTCCCTGTTTTTTATTGTTTTTTGGTCGAAGTTATCTCTCCCTGTTGAACGCGTTGTTTTTGCTCCTGTTCAGATCCATTTGTGCGACAAATCTCTTCTTCTTGACCCCATCTCCGATCTTTCCCATCCTTTTCTTCTCTTTTTTCTCTTTTCCTTTCTCATTTGATCTTCTTTTCCCTAGACATGTCAATGATAAAGAGCGAAAATAGCTTATCCAAGATGACATTGCTATTGCTTCCACGGTAAGCATACATTAGCCACTCTTATTTCATGAAGTTACCGCATGTGACGAGAGAAGCTTAGTCCTAATTATAAATCACGACAAAGATTTACATGTTATCTACTTGTTTTTCGGTGTATTAATTAACGACACATGATATAACGATATAGACACCAATGGTCTCTGGTTCGATTTATCTTGTGATGTTTCAATAACCCAAGAGTTTGTGTTTATTAACTTTCAGTTTTTGTTTACTTATTTTTTATTTCTTTCTTCCACTTTCAAAATGTTGTGATTTTTTTATATGGAATACCCAAATCACTTAAAAAAAAAAAGAATAGTGACATGTAAAATTGCATATAACTAATTCGTAAATTTTAAAAACTTAAAATGCTTTTACCATTTTCAATTTATTTTAAAAAAACCAGTAAAAGGATATTTATGCTGATTGATTTCTCTTATCAAAATTTACTTTCCAATTACAACTCTCTATTTAAGTTGCCAAGAAATATAGGCCTTGACCATTATTTAAGTAGCTCGGACAATGATTTAATTGTAAATATTGTCTATTAGACGTTTCTCTGTTCTTGTATTAGAATATCGCGTTTTCGCCTCTATGTAAATTACTGTTTTTCCCGTCCTTTCTGCGAAATTAAATATATGCTGACATACATTTCCGATCTTCATCAATCATTAGTCATTTGGCGATATAGTTTTTTTCTCTTTTGGGACTATCTGTTTCCCGACTTTTTCCTTCTTTATTTGATTAGATATTATAAGTTGAGAAGACTTTCGTTTTCAACCTTTCTTGGCTAAGTTCCCGCCGAGACGGAGGATAAAATCCCAGTTTGGACTTTCTTATTCAGGAAGATGGCCGCTTAAAAAATGACCCAATCGTGCAAAGGCATGCGTTCCATATTGGAAAATATCCGTCTACCAAAAAAAAAACAGGGGGGAGGGGGGAGGGCACATTTTCAAATAAAGGCCCGAAGTGGGCAGCTTTATCAAAAGATGGTTCAAAG